AAAAAATATTAATGTCCTACAACCTCATATACTCTCACATCTTATAACGTCAAGAAACAATTTGAGCTCATACGATAGACATCCTTGAGTATGTATAAACGCTATTTTTGAAACCAATTATACATTCTGGTAACACAAAATTAGTTTTGACTTGTTTATTTAAAGGACTATTATCCTTGATGTCTTTTCTATCTTTCCCCTCTTTTATCGTTTATCTTCTTTATCTTTTTATATTCTTTATATTATTTTTATCTTCTAGCTTTTTTATTCTCTTTTATTTTTTATCTTTTATCTTTCTTATATTCTTATGTTATTGTTATCTTATGTTTATTTTATCTTTATATTATTCGTTTTATCTTATTTTTTTCCCTTTCTGTTTGGCATCGACATCATAGATCGATTCATATTAGCCGACCCCAAATTCTTTTGGAATTAAGGCTTGGATGTTGTTGTTGTTGTATTGTTGCCAGCTTTTAAACTATGAGTCCCATTCTATTATTCATGAACTATGGGTTTTTATTAATAGAGTGTTAGAAATCCTTTCAAAGGTTGTAGTATATATTATGTATGAAAATAAAATATCAACCTTTGAATGGATTTCTTTCAGAGCCACAGTCAGAAATGGTATTTTAGGAGGTTAATACCATTGTTGAGCCTAAAAATAGTGTAGTAACTAAGTGTACTTATTGAGTTATTGCTGGCTCCAAAATATTGATACATTTGGTATCCCAAACCAATATTTATAGTTGGCATGCATAAACACGAAATTCAAAAATCTTGGATCTACAACTCCTAAATTGGGGCTTTTGACCTGACCATGGATTCGCCTTACATGTATTTTTTGAATGAACAACATCAATCAAACGCTTAAGTTGTACACGTTAATGAACTAATATGGAATTAATAAATGTGATGTATGCAAATCTAACCTTTCCATTGTCAAACACTATATCAAGTGTCATCTTTCTTCGCATGCATTGGTACATATTCGCTCAAATCTTTTAACCCCATGAACCTTAAACTATATAAGAATTAAGAATGTATATATAACTTTGTATTGCCATTCGAATTTGCATTGATACCGTATTGTGATTCTAATGTAGAACATGTGGGTGAGTTAAATGATGTTATGCTTCAACGTGTATTCATTTTTTCATCTTTTCTTGCGTTGATGATGATTTTGATTTTAATTACAATCATTTTTTATCAATAATTTTCTAGTTGTTCTATTCGTTAGTATTTGACTAAACAGGTCTCAAAGTCCAACAGTGAATACTGCAACAATCAAGTCATTGTTGATCTGGGCAGTAAGCTCATAGTTATGAGACAATTTCAGTATTTGTAAGAACTGAAGAGGGGGGTGAAGCTTTTGTTGGTACAGTACTAAAGCTAATTAAAAGATGAGAGTGAGATCAGATGGATTGCAGAGAAAGCGGTTGCTAACTTCTGTAGCTGTTATTGGAATCTTCCTTGTTTTTCTTTATGTGGTATTTGGCTCTAAGAGCAGTGGTGAGTCTGCTCTAGAGTACGGAAGCTGGTCTTTGAGGAAACTAGGGTCTTCTTACTTGGGTGGAGATGATGAAGGTGATACTACTAAGCAAGATGAAAAAATTGGACTGAATGATGGCAATGATGGCATTTTTCTGAAAAGCTTTCCTGTAAGTCATCTAAGAAGTGTCATATAAACAATATCACGTCTCTTGTTTTGTGACAAACATTTTGATGCTTGATGCATTTTATCTTTTTGGGATTTTAAGGTCTGTGATGATAGGCATTCAGAACTAATACCCTGTCTAGACAGACATCTCATATACCAAATGCGATTAAAGTTGGACTTATCCTTGATGGAACACTATGAAAGGCATTGTCCCTTGCAAGAAAGGCGGTACAATTGCATGATTCCTCCTCCCCCCGGATACAAGGTTAGACAGGATATGCTAACGTGGTAGCAAAAGGGTCTTGGGTTCTTCTCATTTCAGAATTCTCGTAAATATCTTGTGTAAATAAGCCATCTTTTTTATCATTTGGTACAATAATAGATACCTATTAAGTGGCCTAAAAGTAGAGATGAGGTGTGGAAAGCAAACATACCTCATACCCACCTTGCTCAAGAGAAATCAGACCAGAACTGGATGGTTGTCAAGGGTGAAAGGATTGTATTTCCAGGAGGAGGCACTCATTTCCACTACGGAGCTGACAAATACATTGCTTCAATTGCTAACGTAAGAGATTTCAATCCTTTCTTTTAGGAAAGCATCCATTGAAAGCAAATTAAACATGTACAAATGTTCACAGCTTTTTATGCGGTGTCCGAATTTACAGATGTTGAATTTTTCAAAAAATATCTTGAACAATGAGGGAAATGTACGCACAGTTTTTGATGTCGGTTGTGGTGTTGCGAGCTTTGGAGGCTATCTTCTTTCATCTGATATAATAGCAATGTCCTTGGCACCAAATGATGTACATCAGAATCAGATCCAGTTTGCCTTGGAAAGAGGAATTCCGGCATCTCTCGGTGTTCTTGGAACAAAGAGACTTCCTTATCCAAGCCGTTCATTTGAGTTTGCTCATTGTTCTCGTTGTAGGATTGATTGGTTGCAAAGGGATGGGATTCTTCTTCTCGAGTTAGACAGAGTTCTTAGACCAGGAGGCTATTTTGCCTACTCCTCTCCGGAGGCATACGCACAGGATGAAGATGATCTTAGAATATGGAGACAAATGAGTGCACTTGTAGAACGCATGTGTTGGAAGATAGCTGCCAAGAGGAACCAAACTGTCATTTGGGTTAAGCCTCTAAATAATGACTGTTACAAAGAAAGAGAACCAAACACCAGGCCACCTCTATGTCGCCCTGATGATGATCCTGATGCAGTGTGGGGGGTTACAATGGAGGCATGCATAACACCTTATTCTGATCGTAAGTATATATTCTTATATCTGCATTTGACATTATTGTGGAGAATGATCATCTTTTGCATCTAATAAAGAAGTCTGTTATTAACATTTATAAGCTTGGGCATCCCTTTAACTAGATGGAAAGAGCTATTCTGTTGCTCACCTGTATCTTATTCTTGTAGTGATTCAAGTGGTTTCCTCTTTGACTTGTTTTTTTTGTTTATTATTCATTCTTATTCTAACTAGATCAGACTATGCAATATCATGAAAAAGCTGGCTAGATGTTATATTAGACAAATAGACGAGATTTTAAACATTTAGAAACCAGACGTGAAAGAGCACACATCACCATATCAGACCAGACCATAAAATTCATACAAAATTTAAAAAAAAAATGAGATTAGATCTCTTATGACAAAGAGAACATGTCATAAAAGGAGAATGAAGCCTCGACACATTTGTCCCGTTTTTACTCATTTGTTTGATTGCATCCATATTGATTGATTGTTGATTCCTTGATGCCATTTCCAATTTTTTTTACCAACTCATGGAGTCATGGTCAAGCGTCTCCCCTCCCCCTGTTTTTTTCTGTTTTGCTTGGTGGTGTGCATTTACTCCAATGTCTTTTCGTAGAGACCTATATGTAATATTAGTGAAATGAGATGTACCTATTTGAAGTGTTTATTTTCCGTTTTTACACCAGATGACCACAAAACCAAGGGAAGTGGATTGGCACCTTGGCCAGCTCGATTAACCACACCTCCTCCCCGGCTTGCTGATTTTGGGTATTCAAAGGAAATGTTTGAAAAGGATACGGTAATATTCTTACCTATAACAGTGTAATTCTGACCGACTGCTCATATACATGTCCAATTACAAGAAAGAAAATTGAGTTGTGGCCTTCTTCGAAACAGAAACTGTGGCAGCGGAGAGTTGATGGTTACTTGAGGATTCTGAGTCCCAGAATTTCATCAGACACTGTTAGGAATATTATGGACATGAAGGCAAACATGGGTTCGTTTGCAGCTGCTCTCAAGGACAAGAATGTATGGGTAATGAATGCTGTGTCTGAAGATGGACCCAACACACTCAAGATTGTATATGATCGAGGCCTCATTGGCACAATCCACAACTGGTATGTATGGTGATAAAAATATTTTTATAATTTTTTTCCCTCCTCATATTTCTAAAACTAACAATTTTGCTCTTTGGGTTTTGCACTTTTTCCTTTTGGTTTTGATGGCTAACTAAATCTTGGCCAAAGTTTTGATCAGTGAACGGCTCATCGGAGAGTCTTTAGCATTTTCAGTCCAAATTATAGCTAATTTTAGTGTTTGTTATAGAACCTGTAAGAGGAGTACAAAGAACAGTTTTGCAAGAGAGCTTTTTGGAATAATGGATTGATTAGTTATTAAGTATAAAGTAAAGAGAAAAGTGGCTCTCCAATCTCTATCTCTTCTATTAAATCTATTTTTCAAATAAAAAGATAAAAAATGATTAATACTCCATAGCAGTTAGGACGTTTTTACTTGGACTGTAATTCCTCCCAGACTAGACCAGTTCAGACCAGACTTGGATAGTTATAATTTATAAAAATACGAAGAAACTAGACCAGTTCAGACTAGACCAGACCAGCAAATTACAGTCCAAGTAAAAACATCCTTACTATACGCCTATACGGAGTGTTGGATATGACAATTTAAAAAACAAATATTTCTTTATGAATTTAAAAATATGTGAAAGGAAATCTGATTCTCATCGTTTGTTGAAATATAGTAATGTGAAACACTGTGTAGTATACTACGTATTATACTACATACATTTATACCTGAGGAAAAAAATAGAGATACAAACAAATAATAATACTATAATAATAACAAAACTCTATCTTTATTATTATGTATCATTTGACACATTCTAATCACTAATCACTACCCCTACCAAATCTCTCTTCCGTAAAACGTAACTGCATAAAAACCGCTAACATGAACCGGTAAAAACTAATCTAAACAGCTAATTGCTGCCAAGCCAGGCCTAGACATGTCCTGGTTAATGTTCAATAAGGTTAAGATTTTTTGTTCGTTGTCCCTTTGTCATGCTTGCAGGTGCGAAGCCTTTTCAACGTATCCTAGGACGTATGATCTGCTGCATGCATGGACCATAATTTCTGACATTGAGAAGAAAGGTTGTAGCTGTGAGGATCTGTTGCTTGAGATGGATCGTATCTTGAGGCCTACCGGCTTTATTATCATCCGGGATAAACAGCATGTTATTGACTTTGTGAAGAGGTATATGCAAGCATTGCACTGGGAAGCTGTTGGAACTGGCAGTGATTCAACATCAGACCAGGATCAGGAGGGAGATGATGCCGTAGTGTTTGTCATTCAAAAGAAACTATGGCTTACTAGTGAAAGCATTAGAACTACAGACTAGTAGAAACATAAATACTTCTCAAGTCCTTCCCCAAGTACACCCTTTCACTTTTTCAAATCCTTCACTCCACTCCTTGCACTAAAAAAAGCTTCATATAGGCACCCTTTTACTATTTCAAAGTAAGTGTGTTCACATGATACATTTTTTAGTACAAGGGCTGGAGTAAAGCAGTGTGCCTGGACACCATGAGATATCAGCTGTCCTTTGCTCCCTACGTTGCTTATTTCTCCACTCATTTTTTTATAACTCGGGTTCTATTTTGCTACATGTTTTGACTTTGTGCTTTACTTGAATTTATACAGACAAGTTGATTTTCTTTATAAATAATTTGTGTGAGTTGGATAGGGGCTGGTTCTGGGGTTCCCAAAAATAGAACCTTAACCGGAACCAGTACTACTGGGTCTACTGGGTCCAGTTCTGGGTAGTTCCAGATTGAGGTGTAGGCCCATAGGACAACCGATTTCTATTTATAAATCTTGGCTGTAAGTTGTGGTGATGACTAACAGTTCTATGGGGAGACACCATAGAAGTGTATATAAGGATCTTGAGTATGGTTAACTCAACAGCAATAACAATAAGTAATCACTACTACAATACGGAGTATTATTCAAAATGTTGTAATAGTTTTCCTTGAATAGAGCAAAATCCAAGCATTCAATACTTTGCATCAAATAAGAAACTCTCGGTAGAATAATTAATGTGCTTTTATACCTATTTAACTAATGTGCATACTATGTTTAGTAAATTTCCATCCAAGGTTCCCGTTGGTGGTTTACGATGCTTGACTGATAAAGTAACTTAATCCATGTTCACACTCTGATTATTTTTAGTAAATAAAATTTACATATTCAGAAAATACATTAAAATCATTACAAATCCTGATAAGCAAATGTAAATTTGAAATTTGATTTATGAAGTAAAAGATTAAAAATGATTTAAGTTAGACCATGTGAATAGTGGACGAGAACCTTCTAATGGGACGGAGGTAGTAATTAAGATCACAATTATTGCTTGCTTCATATTACCATATATATATTTTTAACTTAATTAGTACTTATTTGTAACTAATTTACATGATTTATAAGTATATAATAAACGTTATTACTCGGGAGATTTACCTAAATAGGACTAAATAAAAGGATAATTGTAACAATAGGACTTTAAAGTTTAAATTCCCAAAATAGGACTGACTCTTCTTATTCTACTCTTTCCTTTGTCCTTCCTAATAGGATTTTTTATACAATCATTATAAAATATAAAAAATAAAAAAAAAACGTAAAAAATAATTAAAAAATATACAGACCTCAACCACCACCTCAGCCACCTTCCAGCACCGCCACCTCCGATCGCTGAAAAAGATTGCAAAGTTGGGAAGAAAATGTCATCATGATGACAATTTTGAAGAGAAAGATGGATATTTTCAAAGAGTAAAAATGTCATCTTCATGACATTTTCAGAGAAATGTGGCATTTGTATACATGATAGGCATTTTTTCCAGTGACCAGAGCTGGTGGTGCTGGGAGGTAGAGGACGCGTTGGCAGTGACCTACATATATTTTAAATATTTTTTAGGTACTTTATTTTATTTTTAGACTTTTTTAAAGTTTTTTAAATATTTTGTTTATTTTTTCTGTTTTTTTATTTTTATTTTATTTGTTCACGTTTTTATCATTAATTTATAAATATTTTATTGTTTATATATTTTTATTATAAATAAAAATATGATTTTCTTATTAATAAAATAAATCTATTGGAAACTATAGGAAGGGGGTAGAATGGGAAGAAGAGTCATACTATCATATATTAGTGCTATTTTGGGAATAAAAGGATTGAACTCCTATTGTTGAATTTTGGACTTATTTTAGTCATATTAAGGGCTAATACCTGTTATTACTCTCTTATTTTCCCTTAATCCTAAAGCAATAATGCTTTTATTTCTTAGCTGAAATAAACAACAGTAGTTGAAATGACATGATTTTAATAATATATGCTTACCATAATTTCACAATTAGCTTGGTGAATCACTTAAAGCATCTCTAGCTAATGCAAAAAAGTGAATGGTGCACACGTGGCAAGAAAGATATAGATACATAAAAATTAATAAGTAGAATATATTTCTCCTTATTTGAACGGTCATATATGATTTTGATAAGAAATTTCTTCACAATGTGTAGATATAGACATTGTGTTTGTCATTGTTAAAAAAACTTAGCAAAAGCTCATTAGACTGTGGAAATAAGAAGAGAGAAATGTCACAAATGTTTTCTTATGTGTCTCCCTCATGCAAATATGCACCGTGTACATTAAAGATGTTCTAGGAATACTAATTACGTGCCTTCAAATCACTACAAAGTAATAAAATCAACGGTGACCATAATGGAAACAATAATACAATATACTTCTACTACTTTCGTTAATTAACAAATCAAATTTTCAATTAGTTTATATGTAAATTTTGTATTGACTCTATCAATTTATTTTTTCTCTACAATTCAACACCGTCAATATTTCACCATTACATATTTTATAACTAAATCCTTAGTTTTGTTTTTATAATACATCAATTTTGTAAATAACTGTTTATGAATATAATTATGATTTAAAAACTCACACATTCTTATGTAAAAATAACTAAATTTGGACTCTAATTTTGTTGTTGTTATTTCAGAACTATTTTTGAAAAAAATAAAAGAAGATATATAAAGAATATTGTAACTATGAAGTAATAAAATTGTAATAGTTTGCGTCTCCAATATTCATGCCCCAAGTGTGATCTATCTATAATAATTGACACCCTAAAATAGATAAGTCAAAGTTCTAATCAAGTAAGAAATTATCCTTAACTTTCACGTGGAATTTTAATTTTTTATCTATATATATTGATAATCTTTACATAACAAAAATAACAGAGTGACTACAAATATTGACTAGAAATTCCCGCTTAAATTAAAGATAAGTTCTACTTCATATATGGTCATTATTAAAAGTATTTTTTTAAATAAAAGATAATACTAATAATAATCCACATTTGGTAAAAAGCCTTTTTTTGAGGTGTTATATTTGTTTTTATATGCATGCAATAATGATATAAAGTACAAAAGTGTTACTATTTTTTCTCTCCAATATTACTGCCTCGATCATAGGCTCATAATGGGGCCTAAAATAATGTAATACTCCGTATTAGCTCTTACTACCTCCGTCTTACTATAGTTGAGACATGAGAAAGTGTCGCGGTTATTAAGAGAAGTGAGTTTATGCGGTTGATATTGAAAAGGAAATGTTAGAAAAAAATATACTACGGGTAATAATTATATTATGCTCAATTTCTTCACCATATACATAGAGTTTATTATTACACCTTATTATTTATTTTAATTTTTACTTCCACTTTTTCATACACACCAAGTTTTATTTCCCTTCAGCTATCTTATTCTACATTTGTTCTTAAATAAGTGAAACATGCTGAATTTGTACTATTCACATCTTCTACTTTGACAATATTTTATTTATTAATATATTAATAATTTTTTAAACAATATTATTAAATGTATCTCATTGTAAATTTTCAAAAACTGATTTTTTAAATTTTTTTACCAATAGAGAATTATATATATTAATGGTCAAAGTTGAGCACCGATATATGTGAAAAGTTGACCGTTTGCATTTATTTAAAAACGAAAAGAAGTATAATTAAAACTACAACACAAAAATTATTCTTTTACCCCAAGGGTGGTCGGGGTTGGGGGGTTGGGGAGCCTAGAGTAAACCGGGATCAAGTGAGCTAGACCACTTCCTCAAACTCTATTCTCTTTTATTTGGAAAAAATATACATTACGTAGAATTTGATAAAATAAAAATTTAAATACGTTGTTATTCTATTTTAGACACACCCCGTGCATCGCACGGGTACTTCGTCTAGTTATTATAAATATAGACAATGCACTTCATTGAGCACCTTTGTGCAGAATGGGTACAGATTCACTTGATTTACCACCCCATCAGCCATCAAAAGGGCTCTAACGAGGTCATTAACATGGATCAAAATGCCTTTTAAATCGTATTATTATAGCAAAGACGAGATGCTGAATTTGAACTGATGAAAGCTGATTATAAAAGCCAATGCAGGCAGAGTCACTGTCTTGACTCTTGAGTCTTGACCAATGGAACATGATGCATTTAAAGTATGTTTACCAATGGAACACAATCATCAAGCATAAGAGTTTAGTTTTGACAAGCAAGGGGCTAGTCAAAAAATATGCTTACCAAGTTCCTCTCTGTGAGTAAGAACTACAGACATAGACACAAATGAATATTGTTAAAAGAATCACTTTAACCTTAATCTTTTTTTTAACTTATTTAACAAGTCCAGGAAGATGATCTCTTCATTACAGGCTTCATTTGCTTGTCCTCTTCCAAGGATATCATCCCCAAATGTGAAGGATCTTCGAGCATCATCTTCGCCACCAGATACCCAGCGATTGACCATGTCTGCTGCTTCCTGGCCTGTTTGCCGACAAATCTTCCAACCTTTCCATCATAATATTCGGGCCACCCATCCTTCAGCAAGCGGCTCTCTGCTAGATCAATTGCCCTTTTCGCAATTTGTGGCCGTCCAGTCTTGATGCACGCCGCAGTCAACATCCACAACAGCACTGCACATGTTCATGTTAATTGGTCATCGTTTGAACCAATTCTTGTTTCAGAAGTTTGTTGAAAAGTAGTTAAAAAAAATAGTTTTATTTGGATGTACCAAAGAATTGGCTTTTACAAGTCACAAGTGTATGAAAATAAGTGAAAGAACAACTTCAGTTGTTGAAAAATTAGCATATCATTATATGAAAAAAGTAATTTTCAGATTCACGAAAATAGTTTTTTTTGTTTAAATAAGCTGATTGTGATTTAAACACATAACTTGTTTTGAAAATAACATGTACCGCTTTGTTTGGCATAACAAGTTGATGCGTTCATTAGTACTCGCAATTTATAGCTTATAAGGTTAAACTGATAATTTAGTTGATATCATAATCTAAAAGACAGCTTATATCTAGTTTCTAAGAGGTCTCAACATGCTCTAAAGGGTTTGTTTGGTAATGTTTCCTGTTTTTATGTTTCTAAACATTGCAGCTATTGTTTCCCCGAATTCCTAAATATAAAACATCGATGATGAGTCCGTATTGTACACATGATTTTGGTGTAAAATTTGTTTTTAGAGCTTCGATAGAAATTTTGGTGTAAAAACTAAATATGAACATTTTAAATATTAACTAAATCAATATTGTAAGGGGAAAATTGATGTTACCATCAGTAAGCCCTTGTAATATTGACAAAGTCTTTCGGGACGGAGATAGCAATTATTGTGGAGTATAAAAGTGTTTGCTCTTTAATAATAAAAATCATAAACGCACCAAATTATGGTGTGAAACATGATTCCATAAGCAAAAACAATGAAGATAATAAATTCACACGTCCAATAATTTTCAGAATTGCATTTTGTTTTAAGAAACTGAAAACAGCAAAAACCTATTGTCAAACACATTTTCTTATTTTTGTTTCCAGAAAAAGTGAAACATTGCCGAAATAAACATATCTTTCATTACACGCAGTCATACACTTGAACTAGCCCAGAAAAATATGAGACCATAGGTGAATTAGCAAGGAATAAAGATAGAAGGAGAACCTGGCCAGGACCCTCCGTTATGGTAACTCCATCTAGTGTTTTTCGGATCACAACCAGTCACTATCCTCCACTCATGATTTTCAAGTGCGGGATAAGATATTTTTAAAGGCATCTCCCCAACAAGCTCCTCCCAGCGCGCTTCAATGAGATCCAT